ACCTCAGTTCTAAATTAACGCAACTCACTCAGGTAACTCAAAATGGTTTTTATTTCGTAGTAGCGATTAATAGTGTCGAACAAATCGTGTTCAAAACCTCTGGTTGCTCGAGGTTAGCGGTGGCAGCTGAAGAGATGCGAACTGAACTGAGAGTGCCGAAAAGAGATATGACCATACCGTTCGAGTTTTTAACTTTTTTATCGATCGTTTGCAATATATTCAAGTTAATCAGATCAGACTTAAATGCTTCATTTACTATAAAATTATTCGTGTTTATTACTGTTCGACACACTAAAAACCTATAATTTTCTATACTAAGATAATAAAATCAATGTAAAAAATTGAAAAATATTTGGTGCAGGTATTTATAAATACATGATCTAAATATATTTTGAAATTTACTCATGTTAATTGTAATTATAGCTTCCTTGTTTGTGCTGTAACATCTTGAAAACAAAGAAGAAACTTCTCAAATCAAATTTACATTGTAACCTTGTTAGAAATTGCTTGTATTTATTTATTTTATATGTATACACATGGAATATTTTGTTTTTTTAAATACGACGAGAATATGTTTATCTTTTAGAAATCGCAATAAATAAATTATTAAAAATTACACACATTTTTAATAATATTATAATATAAATTGTAAATTATATTACGCTTTCTGTCCTGAAAAAGTCTGAACTCATTAAGTATATGACACAGTTTGCTAATAAGTCGTTTGTAAAAGATTTAAATGAATATTATACAGACATGGTATTTCAATCCACACGGCCTTGGTGGTCTAGCGGTTTAGTACAGCTGTACTCTCAATGGTCTGAGTTCGATATCTCGCACGGTGCAAATATTTGTCTTACGAGTATCCGAGTGTTTTCTATACATATTATGTATTTATTTAAAAAAAATCTATTTATATATAGTGGTCTAGTACCTATAATAAAAACTCTGCTTAACTTGGGACTAGATGGCCCTGTGTGGATTACTCAGCGTTAACTTATAAATGCAATATTTAATTTTGCTTTTATTCATTCTTGCATACAATAAAGAGCATGTATAATATAATATAATCATTACAGAATCGTAATGATCAATTTACTATAATTATTAGTCAATAATAAATTTTGATTTGTTATTAATAAATTGAAATCATTTTTATTTCTCGAATTGTGACCGGTGCGTTTTTAAGAGATGTGTTTAGTATTAAAACTATTAAATATGTACCTATACCTACTTTATTCAATAATACAGGATGTTAAATCTCTTGATTTTTTTTACCATTTTAACTTTACTAAGACGTCCCACGACTATGCAAAGTCGTTTAGGTGGTTATTACTTCGGCCAAGCAGCTTACTTTGTAAGCTACATTTATTTGTTTCAGACAACTTAATATTATTTATTTAATATTGGTCCATATTATATGTACCTTAAGGACTAACGTATATATCTTATATAAAATTTTTGTGTTACAGTTTTCGTTCCCATACTCCTCCGAAACGGCTTGACTGATTCTCATGAAATTTTGTGTGCGTATTGAGTAGGTCTGAGAATCGACCAACATCTATTTTTCATCCCCCTAAATGTTAGGGTAGTCCACCCCTAATTTTTTTTTTTTATTTTAAGGCAAAACAACGTTTGCCGTGACAGCCTAATTTCAGGGTGGGGCAGCAGTCTAAAACATTATGTATTTAGCAAACTATTTTTATAACTCAGCCCTATTTTTTTTATACAAAACGCACGTTACACCCTATAGCCCTGTATCGATGTTTTTGTTTTTTATTTATGGATGATAATGGAATAGTGCACCCGCCTGCGCTGACGGTTAACACTGGCGCGGCATTAGTGGAGAATGATAATATGAACAGGTAAGTTCAGTTCAGTCAGGTCAGTAAATTCTCGACACTCTCGACAGTCAGACAGTCTCATTATTGTATTTATATATTTTTTTAATTAGTTAAAGCCTTGTAGTGGAAATGAACTCAGTACATAAGTAAAACACATTACTATACTTTGATATATATATATATTTCAATAATTGAAAATTAACAGTAAAAATAAGATATTTAATAGAGAATCTCAAGAGTATTTTAACGGACTTGAAAATTCTTTAAACATGTCTTAATCTAAGGTTAAAATTATATCAATTTTGTTCAATTAAGATATTCTAATGCAAAGTATAATATATAAACAATGCATAGCGACGACAATAAACCAAATCAGTGTATTTTAGATATAATTTATGACATTTCGTCGCTTTAGAGCAGCTCTACTTGCAATGTTGACGGGTTTCATGTGTATGATTGATGACAAAATATATATGTATCTGATTATACAGATGGCGCTGTGTAAATTGTCTGATATTTTTAATTTACAGGATTTTATATATAAACACTAGCTTTCATCTGCGGCTTCGCTCGCATTGAATCCAAGTAGCGGAGATCATTTTAATTGATATATAACTTCATTACTGGCTGCTAGATGGCGCTGAAGCAAAATGTTGATATTTTGTTTATTATAAAAAACATTTTTTTTAATAAAAAGTTTCCTAAGTATCCTATATTCATTCTAACAGTTACATGATTGGTTCAGTAGTTTTTGCGTGAAAGCGTAACATCTACTTTCACAACAAATATTAGTAAGGAAATATCTTTATATATGGAACGGTGAGCCCGACTACACTAATGGTAAACGCAGAACATCAGTGGACGATGACAGAATAAGGGTGACATTAACTTTAGCCTATAGATTTGTGAATTCACCAGAAATCCACCACCCATTATGATGGTATCCCGAAGAAACCATGGGAAGCATGGCGATACATTTACTTCTGATTTACTGTTTAATTCCAAGGTTAAACTGGTAGATAACACTACTAACATTTCCGTATTTTGTATCAGAACTTACTTCCTTAATTAAGTTATTTAATTAAATAAAAACACTGTTTTGTTCAGTTGTATGCCGCATAGATAATATGGACGCGTGTACCATATTCTTGCCTTGTCTATCTGGACCTCATGATTTGGAGAATGCTTGAGCGACTTCATTAGCTAGTAATGAAGCGACCGCCATATTCTGACAGTTCGCTATGACTAGCGTAGACCCCGGTTCTATCTTCACAGACAGTAACACTAGGTCTTGAGATGATATCATTCTTCCTGCAAACCTGAAACATAATATTGTACTGTATTAATATCAGTATCCATAAGAGTGTCCAATAATTACGTACAAGCACGAATACGAAACTTGTTTGATGGAGAAGAACAGAGCTGGCCAAAGAGGCTCCTATGGCGTTGAGTCTGGCGTTGAGTCTACTCAACGGTGTAGTTAGTCGCTTTCCAGATCTAGACATATTTACTTGTAATTTGCTGGAGTTTCGTAGGATTGTATGAATGGCAGTAGATTATTTATGTATGTAGTATGTAAAATTAAGATTTGGTATAATTTTTCTTTTTTTTCCTTGTGTAATTAGTGTGTATGTATTAGTAATTTGTGTTTATAATTGTGTGTATTTGTATAGAAGCTCCTAAGATATTGAGAGACTGTAAAGCTCGCTTAGTGTGATGTAAATAAATAAATAAATAATTATTAGGTATATTAAACGCTAACAATGGTCTAGCATACCGCGTCACTTCGATGGTCGCGAATTTGGTTCTTCGCACGATACAAATATTGTTTATTTGTATCCGTTTGTGTTTTGTTGATGATGTTGTGATAGTGTTTTCTATGTATTTATTAACGTAAAACGCAGGAGTCTTAATAAAACTGTAGTGTTTACGACTACATAATATATAGGAAGTTGTTGACGTCCATACAGCGTTTAGCTATGACAGTTCCAACAGTATTAATTTAATTTCTGACCCTAATTCCGCACCCTCCTAGAGGGTGCAGGTTGGAACCTCTGAACAGTGCCCTTGCCCTGGCATCATATTAGATCATTGTTTGCGATTTAGCTGGAACTCTTCAGAGCATCTTTCTTAACTCTAATATAATACAAGGTACTAAATAAAATTACTTAGCCTAGCTTAGTAAGTTTACCTAGGTTAATAATAGGTGCCCTTTATTCTTACTAACGATAACTTACCTCCAGTAAGGGTAAGGGAATTGTTAATAACGGGAACTAGTAAACACCATTGCTAGCAATGTCCCATGTTAGTTTGACCTCTGTCATTCTTTCTGGAAATCATTGTAATAAATTCCTACTGAATTTGTCACGATGGGCTAACTGACCTGACCTCATGCTCATCTTATCATCCTCCACTGGTGCCCCGCCAGCGTAAACCGTTAGCGTAGGCAGATGCACCCTTTCATTATCATCCATAAAAAATTACCTCAACACATCCCCCGTGGTAGTGATAGCACCTACGTTTGCAGTTTCGAACACCCGTTTGGAAATCGCCTGTTCGTCTTCTAACTTTGCTGCTTTTCTTCTCACACTGCGAATTTATGAAATATTCTTATTTACTTAATAAATATAAATATATATAACATTCTCGTGTCACAATGTTAGTTGCCCGTAACGGCTTAATCAATTTTCATGCAATTTTTGTAAGTAGACTGGGTAGTGCTCAGAAAAGTTTGTTAACTATTTTCATACCCCCAAGTGATTAGGGGTGGCCCAGCACAAATTTCTTTATTACACATATAGAAAGAATAGATTATAAAATGCGGAAGGATTTGAGAAAACCTTTTTGCATTTGATAGCTACAATTTTTCCTCAAGTTTTTTTTACTATGATGATGACAATCTACCATATGGCCCATATGATGGTAAATGGAACGGGATTTCCATTTAATGTTAAACATAGACACCTATATAAGTAAACATAGTAAATAAATTGGCATTAAAAAAAAAAATTCAATTGAGTTTCTTGCCAGTTCTTAATTGAATCTGTATACTGGACGATACCGAAAAAAATATAGAATAGAATAGATAAATAAGGAGAAAAATTATAAAAATTTACGTTCAATAGCGGCTACAATGTCCTACATGAATAAATGACTTTTGAATTTGAATTGATTAGTTGGTCATGCACCGGATTTCCATTTAATGTTAAATATAGAGACCTATATAAGAAAACATAGTAAATAAACTGGCCTTTTTATTAAAATTAGAAATTCACTTTAGTTTTTTGCGAGTTCGTCTCATTTGAATCTGTATACTGAACTGGACGGTAGGATAATATGATTATAATACAAAACATTTGACGTTTATAAGCGGCTAAAATGTCCTACATAAATTATTTTTCAATTTGAATATATGAAATAAGTGACAAACCTCGGTCATGCCGCGCAGCCGTTGTTCGCTGGCCCATCGTTCGTCGGACATGTTCACGGCGCGGATAAGTTCGCCCACAGGCGGCCGTACCGCCACCGCCACTTCACCTGTACACATACAATTTTATATAATTCTCGAACCCAAAGTGAGGGGAGATGATTTTCCCCCGAGGGGAGCAAGGGGGAGGGGACTGTCAGCAATCGAGACTAATTATTAGGTCTGGGATACGTGATAAATAGATCAGGATGGGTTTATAAAAAAAATGAAAGGAAAGAACACTATAACAGGGATCCTAAACGCCTAAACATTCCGGACGGTCTAAATATTTTTCTACGTGTGGCCCACGCCCCATAGGGGGACAATTTGACTGTTAAGGGTTAATTCGAAAATAGACTAGACGATTTTCACCCTATCGCTCCGGTTCATTTAAATACAATGCTAGATTTTCATGCCAAATTTAATGAAACAAGCAATTTCTTAATTGTTTTATTAATAACATTGTGTTATAAAAATCTTTATTAGAATGATTTGGAATTTGGGTTACAATAACAATTGCCTAGCGATTTCTTCGTAAATGTAAGTTTCTTCATTTATGTTTCTAAAATTAACAAATAAATTTTATAATATTAAAAATTATGTGTAATACATATGTAACATACGTTAAGAGGTAACATGTAGACATACATTTGGACATTTATAATATAGTAGTTAGTACATACAACAATTGTTAGTTACCTAAGGAGCAGGCCATGGTGAACTCGATAGGCTGTATGGTGTCCGCGAAGTCGATCCCGAGTATGACGGTCGCGTTGGCGACTGGCTCCAGTACCGCTACGGGGGCGAAATCGTGGATAGCGCGTGAACCAGTCAGCGTCTGAATTTTATAAATAATAATAATAATAATAACTTGGTAAGTATGACATGTACCTCTAAACTTCGATCTGTAAAACCAATAGTTTTGTCACCCACAGGAATTATACCACAAAGTCTTAGGAAACATCTAGAAATGCTGCAAATTTCCTCCTTTACGGTAGAACTACAAAAAGCCGACATTATTAACTCATGCCGTATTGTAAGAAAATTTCTTTTGTCATTAACTTCATATAACTTTTAAAATCATCAACTCTTGGCTAAGGTCCGGGAGTAACTACAGGGGTACCTGAGGTACTGTTACAATTTGACAAACACAGTTCTTAAGAACAGTTCCGAAAACACCGTGTTAGTTATTGTATTAATATGACAATATTAATTTATTCATTCCTTTCCAAGTACTTGCGGTGTCGGCTAAGTCACAGGGAATGAAAAAGTTAGTCTCTTATTAATCTTCATCTAAGACGCGTTTTCTGCTTAAAATGGATTTTTTTTAAACTTTCTTACGACACACTCCGTATCAGTAACCTGGCTGCGGGGGGGGAGTGGAATGTTAGTAATTTGGACTAGTGATGCCATTGCTAGCAATGTACCATGTCAAGTTGATCTCCACACGGTTCCTCTTAGAAACCATCGTGATAAACCCTCATGCTCATTTTATCATCCTCTACGGGTGACCCGTCAGTGTATACTGTATACCGATAGCACAAACGAGTGCACCATTCATCATCCATAATAAAAGTACCCTGGCTATTACCGATCCTCACTTAACATTTAAATAATAGTTTTTCTTAAAATATCTTTCGACCCATTCCGTAACAGTACATTCGTAAGGTAAGGATGCCGGAGTCGTTACCTTCTTATTGATCCTGATGTTGGTGACGTCCCGCGGCGTGTGGTTGGTGAATCTGACCTCTACCGAGCACATCCGGTGCGAGTAGAGGTGCGGCGTGCGAGGCCACCGTCGGTGAGCCACGAGGCCGCCCCACGACACGAGTCCTACTAGCTCCTCTGCAGCGTACGGGGCCGACACGAACGACGGGCCCACGGGGGTGATCGCATTCTCTGTTGCTGTACATCCATACAAATCTGTTACAATTTTATAACTAATAATAATAAAAATAAGCATAAAAATCGGCAAAAACCGAGTTAATGAAACGATAACGATAATAATCTCAGGACAATTCACACAGCGCAATCTAGATCCAAGTTAAGCTAGTTAAAGCTTGTGTTATGGGTACTATATAAATGGATACTAGACAGATACATAGATATATTTAAAAATATCTAAGTATTTGTATCAGTTTTCTAGTATTCATAACACAAGCTCTGCTTACCGAGGGACTTAAAGGCCCTGTATTAATTTTCCAGGTTTATGTATTATTAATATTATGTATATTATACATAAAAGGCACCCAAACTAATATTAGTTCCAGCTAGTTTTATTATTTTTAATTTATATTATCATAATTTATTGTCTTGGAATCCTTTATCTTTTTATCCAGCTCGTTTCCATGCATTCAAAATAAGTTATTTGTACGAACGTAGAATAATTCTATTCAAAATAAGAAATCAGCAAAGTATCCCATCGCCTATGATGTTTTAGCCTACCTAGCTTCTAATTCCAATAAAAAAAAACAGTTACCGTCAGCTGTCCCCGCCGTGGGCGCGGTGAGTGGCGACAGCAGTCCTCCGCAGGTGGGCGTGATGGTCGGCAGCGCGCTGGCCGCCTCGTCCAGCTCCAGCAGCAGCTCCAGGTTCGACTTCTCGTTCTTCTGCTGTTCTCTCGCTGGAGCCCTCCTCGCCGGTGGTTCATCCTCCTGTACCCACCATTTTGTTTAATCGGAGATTACATTACGAGTCTGCTGTGACACATACGCCCAAATCGACGGCATAGCATAGCACCTCTGATAATCGGCAGTGTCCCGTACGAGGCCCGGGAGAAAATATACTACTTTCATCAAACCCACAATGAATTGTAATTAATGAATATATGCTCATGCGATCATTGTTCACTGCTCATCATCATATCATGCTCCGCCAAGGTATACCGTTAGCGCAGGCAGATGCACCATTCTAATATATACATATAACCAGGGGAATAGAATTGTTAGTAATGTGGATTAAAAACCCTTTTGATAATAATGTATTAAGTCAGGTTGACCACAATGCGGGTCCTCCTGGAAACCATCATGTTAAATTCCTGGTGAATTTGCCACAATGAGCTAACCGATCTGACTCAATTTATAATCCTGCACTGGTGCCTCGCTAGCGTATACCGTTAGCGCAGGCGGATGCACAATTCCAATATCATACATAAGAAAAAAGACAAGTGCCATCTAGTTTTAAGTTAAGCAAACTTAAGACTAGATGGCGCTATCTAGCGATATTATTATTATTAGAAATGATTCCAGTAATCGCCATTTTATTTATGATCTACGCTACGTTTACATTCAGCCGCTTCCCCTACCACTCGCACTGCCGGAAATATAGCCGGGCGACAACTGAGCGAGAGGGCTGAATGTAAAAACACGCTGCCAGTCTTTTGACTCGCGCACGAAAAACCGACAATCGAGGGAGCGCCGGGCAGCGCGAGTTGCAGCGCCAATGGCATGGGAAGTGTTTCCACTCTTGCGCTGCTCACTTCCCTGCCTACTCTGGCCGAGTGTAAATTGGGCATAAGAGATTTTACTCTCTCACTCTCTCTTTTTTCTTTTATTGTGTAATTGTTTTTGAGAATGTACAGTTTAAGATAATTAAATAGTAAATCACCTTAACTATAGACTACCTTGTCGTCGCTATGTTGTGAATCCCCGTCTCCGCTGTCCGCCTCGCTATCCGACTCGCTCTCACTGTCGCCCGACTCGCTTCCGCTCTCGCTTGAGCCCGACGACGACGACCTGCTCATAAATATGAATCTTCAGTACATTGAGGGGTTGCATGATAAAAAAAATATATATTAAATGTAGTATATTAAATTTTGTAAATGAGAAGGTGCGAGGTAACAGACAGTCTTAGTATATTATGCAAAGGAAACCAATTCAAATTCAGAAATCTTTTATTCAATTTAGCAGCTTAGAACATGAAATATTTTGTAATTAATATTTTTGCCTACCGTCCAATACAGTATATATTATAGATTCGATTCAAAACACGACTTGGTTTCTTTTTTTTTAAGACAGTTTATTTGCATTTTATGCTTATACAGACGTCTATGTGTAACATTAAATTAAACGAAATGTTCTCGTGCATGAACAACTATTGCTATGCCTGTTTGTAATTTAAGTAATCGTTTAATGAGTTTATATATATATATATATATATATATATATAGTACTTAAAATAAACATAAAAGTTGTGCCTACACTTACAATATTTCTGTCAGTGTTCTGCACATTCGAATCAGTTTACCTCTCCAGATAACATAAATTTAAGTTGAGGTATAAAGTCAGTCTACGTCCCGACTCCACGTCGAATGCGTATGTAACGCATTATTAATAAGCCTTGTAGCACTCTATCTAATAAATTTACTAATGTACAATAAATAGTACAATTATATCACCTGTATACTCACTACCTATAAACTACAATAAACAAATATATGTAGCGACACCTAATCACATCATATATGTAAGATCGGGTTTATTGATACCGGAAGATGGCTTTAAAGCCGGCTACCGCAAGGGAAACCCCATAGCGCCCGTGACTTGTGACACGGGTGTAAATTTAAGAAGCCCCTTTATAATTCATTAACACTCACCTTCACTACTTGCAGCTTCCCCCCAGGCCCAACTAAGACCGGGATAAATTCACCATTTCTAATACAATTCACTTTAGTATAGACGATGGCTTTGAAGCCGGCTACCGCAAGGGAAACCCCAAGTAGCGCCCGTGTCTTGTGTCACGGGTGTAAATTTAAGAGGCCCCTTTATAATGCATTAAACACTCACCTTCACTACTTGCAGCTGCTCTCCAGGCCCAACTAAGACCGGGATAAACCCATTTCTAATACAATTCACTTTAGTATCCAAAACACAACCGTCACGCTCTGCGCTCGTCGACTGAATGCCGCGGTTCATCCAACGAAAGAGGATTATTCAACTACCGACCTCCTTATTTATAGACCGAAGTCAGTGTAGTAGGGAGAGAAGCGGGGTTAATGGTTATCTTATGACAAACTTGGTTCGGTCTATAAATACTAGATGGCGCTATTTACAAAATAGATCATATTAGATATTGGATTATACACATAATCTTACATATATATCGCTATAGTGATGAAGATAACCACCGCGTTGCAATGTAAAGCTATAGAAGTACTGTTAAATGACGTAGTGGAGTAACTTGAAACAGTCATGCTCGCTATAAAGTTCAAACTTGTGGCGGCGTGGTGGGCCAGGTCGATGTGCTCCTTCAAATATGGTTGAGTGCAATTATGGCTGGCTCATCCGTCATACTCGTGAACGGATGCTGCTTGTGAGAACTGGTCTGTTCAGGTTGCGATCACTGCTTAGATTTTTTGTTTTTTTTCTTCAATAGCATATGCTGGTGGGCACTCTATTCCCCCAATTTTGAATTTAAATGAAATTGTATTATTGTAAATATGTACAACATTTAAAAAAACATCGAGCTGAGTTTCTTGTCAGATCTTCTCATCTCGAAATAATTCCGAACTGACGGTATATTTGACATATCATATGAGTCTGTAATAGACCTACATGAATAAAGATATTTTGAATTTTTGGATTTGATTTTGAAAAAAAAAAAACGGATGATATGAATAAAAAGAAAGCTCAGACATAACGACCGATATCCTTTCGGCCGTGATATCTGATCCCTATCAGTGGAAGAAGAAGACATAATACGCCGACCACAAATAATGGGATGAAGACGAGGCAACGACTAAGTACAATGTTCTGTTAAACTGTTTGAATGAGTGTTTGTTCTTGAACGTACCTGTAATTGTTGGTCTGTTTTTGCTTGTTCTGCACTGGTTTCTTATCTTCGTCGTTGCTTTCTTCTCTGAAATATTTTTTTTATGCGATTAGAATTACAAACTATCACGAATATCCTATTAATAATTAAAACTATAGATCAATACGCACAAACTTCTTTATCTATACTAAGATTATAAAGATGAAGAGTTTGTTTGTCTGTTTGTTTGAACACGGTAACCTTAGAATATTATTCAAATTTTGAGGGCTTTCGTTGCGTGCGCTGCGTAAACGAAGTCGCGAACAGTTTAAAGGTCTACTTATAAAGCCTCCTAATAAATATAAAATATATATTTTATGTGAATGGTACTAACTCATCAGAAGATTCTTCAGAGCTGCTGGATTCGGATGAAGATGATGCCGACCCTGAGGAACTGCTCTCCGGCTCCGAATAAAAGCTTTTATCTTTCTGTAAGAAAAAATATCTAATAAGATTATTTTTCTATAATAATAATTGAAGCCGATACAGTTAAGCGTGGAGTGGTGAAATATTCAGTAATGAAAATCGATAGAAGTGTACAGCTGTCCGTGTCGCTTGCGCATATATAGCGTGAGGATAGTGGACGCGTTCGCGTGCGGTGCGAGGGAAGTGATAACTGCTATAGGTGTCGCTATCTACGCACAAGCGGTGGGATCAATTTTATTACCAAATAAGTAGGTATACAGGTATGTAACATTAAGTTTTACAGATACACCCTACAAACGAACAATATATTTTACCAGTGGAGCATCAATTTATACATATATATAGTAAAAGGTAAGTATGGATTTATATATACATTATGGTTATTTCTATATGTTTTATGTGTTTTTATTTTTATTAATATTTTAGTTTTATTTTACAGGTCCGGTTAGCAGTCGCGAGGCACGTCGGCTACAATAATCATAATATTTTAGGGCAATCTACAAATCGCCATTTAGTCTCGAGCTAAGCAGGGCTCGTGTTATATGCTGCGGGGGGCCCCACGTCCCGCAGGGCCCCGTGCAGGGCGTGCGGTGTACCTGTGGGGCGGCGGGGGCGCGCGGGGCGGCGGCGGGCCCCGCGGGGGCCCCACGTCCCGCAGGGCCCCGTGCAGGGCGTGCGGTGTACCTGTGGGGCGGCGGGGGCGCGCGGGGCGGCGGCGGGCCCCACGTCCCGCAGGGCCCCGTGCAGGGCGTGCGGTGTACCTGTGGGGCGGCGGGGGCGCGCGGGGCGGCGGCGGGCCCCGCGGGGGGCCCCACGTCCCGCAGGGCCCCGTGCAGGGCGTGCGGTGTACCTGTGGGGCGGCGGGGGCGCGCGGGGCGGCGGCGGGCCCCACGTCCCGCAGGGCCCCGTGCAGGGCGTGCGGTGTACCTGTGGGGCGGCGGGGGCGCGCGGGGCGGCGGCGGGCCCCGCGGGGGGCCCCACGTCCCGCAGGGCCCCGTGCAGGGCGTGCGGGGGCGCGGGCGGGAGGGGCCGGTACCCGCTGGCGGCCGAGCCCGTGTACATCGACAGCGAGCCCACCGTGAACTGCTGCCGGTCTAAACACAGGTACGTAATCGATGTACAATCCAATATAGTACTTGTAAAGAAGAACACGATCTATCTGGCTAACTAATAGTAATATGCGACTACAGATTGCGCTCTAGTAGTTAATTTGTGATAGTGTTTGTAGTAACTGCTTTTATTACAGATACGTTATATCTAAACCGGTGGTTTAATTCTTGCTAAATTCGGAAGCAAAACAATTATTATAGTCCTTCGAGGCGGATACTACTAGAGTAATATTCCGACAACTAACGTGTTCTCATGAACGCGATGCCTTAAATAAAATATTTGGTATATACTTATATTATGATACTTAAGTACCCAATTACTATAATAGAATAAAGTTCCTTCTCTTATGTATAAACATATAGCGCATTAGTAGCGCATTCGCATGCGGTAACGATACGCCCTGGTGAGGCACCGAACAGTGGAGATATCATCTAAAAGTAACGACGGATTCTTCATCGAAACGAAGCTACCGGCTCACCTCTGAAGGTGCTGTGGACTTGCGGCTTGGGCTTGTCGGGGCAGAAGACTTGTGCGGCGCGCGCGGCGAGGTGTCCGCGGGGCTGCAGGAAGCGGCGCAGCAGGCGCGCGCGGTCGCGCACGTCGTAGCTGGCGTCGTACCGCGCCAGCGCCGCCACGTACCGGCACAGCGCGCCCGCCGCCGGCTGCGCCACGTGCAGCTTCACCGCCAGCGACAGCAGCTGCAGCTTCACCAGCTCCTCCTGCCGGGGACGACAGTCTACTTCAGTTACTTCAGTTAGTTACTTACAGTCATCGATCTGATTAGCTCACGGCTCCGCCGATCTCCTGCGCGTGGACCGGTGACGACCGGGAGGCGCCGTGCTCGGCCGCCAGCCGCACATTGTCGGTACCTGATCGGCGAAGGCGGAGGCGAGGTGCGCCAGCACGGCGGCGGCGCGGGGCCGGGAGGCGCCGTGCTCGGCCACCAGCCACACGGCCGCCGCGCGAGCCGCTCCTGCCAACCTGAAGCAAGCCACACACCTACTACTACTAGACTCTACTTTCTTAAATCCACATGCCACTATTTGCAAAATTCTCATGACAGTTTGCTGTAAATGGAAGGCTATAAAAAATAACAAACGAATTCACCAGAGGCAGACTGCGATGAGGTATCTGCAGGGGGTACCTCAGCCTAACCTATTTCGTCCACCGAGTAGCTCGCTTTGTGAGCTGCTTCGATTATAGACTGCAAACTGAGCAGTGACTTACACGTTAAAAGACTGATATCAACGGCAACGCATGAGTCACGGACATCGCATGATAATGTGGCCCGGAACCTTCTTTGCCTCTCCGATTACTTAAAAAATGTTATAAATATGAATTAGTTAAGGTGTACCTGTCGGCCCTTAGCAGTCGCGCGGCGCGTGCGACGGCAGCACGTGCGGAGCTGGCCCCGCCACCTACCACCCTCTTCACCACAACCACCGCCTCGCACACCACCCACTCTGCGTACACACCATTCACCATTTTACCTTGTTTTATTCGGCTCGAAGGACCAAAAAATGTAGGGGATTTATTCTTAGATAAAATGATGATATATGAGGTTGATTCAAACATACGTTCCGTTGTAAAGTAATAAAATCAGTACGTATCCATAAGCACTATTATTGATACATACTGATTTTATTACTTTTTAGACAAATGACACATAGTATAATATTTATATAAATGCAATGTATATAAACATATAGTATTGTACGGGTTTCCGTACATATATTAACTTAACTTAACCTTTATGTTACTGGCAGCTTGTCTATCATTCTTTTTATAAACTTTATATTTTTGATTTTTTTTATATGTCATTTTTGACTAGAATTGTTTTGTTACTTCTCGCTGTGAGCCCTTTTGGGAAGAATACACATTTTTACTAGTATTTGGTTTTTATTAAAAATAAGTAGTTGTGTTCCCGCTCCAGTAACACTTTATTTTAACAAATTAGGTAATTTATAATTAGTTATTTTGCTTGTTACTTTTGCTTACACATTTTCAGAAAAAAAGGTCTAATTTAAGCGGTAATCATCTAGTTAGGAGGACGAATCCTATAACTTAATCTATATTAGCTATATCAACTAAATTATAGGATTCGTCTTTGATTGCTTTCTTTGCTTTTCAAAACTTGTTATTTTGAGAAAGTCCTCATTGCTTAATAGGCCTATATTATTTTGTTTAATTAGTAGAATTTAATGAGTATTATTGTGTGAGACCACAAATATTCAGCGCGGAATTCAGCTACAGACTCCCAATTATAGACGTAAACATCGAAAAAATATTACATTTCAAATCTCATTTAACCAGGTTCATAAAGTCCCATTAACAGAGGTAATTCAATGAAAAAGTACTGGGACTTCATTGCAGCTCTCAATAATACCGGTTATTCACGTTCCACTTAACCAGGTTTTACTGTATTAATAAAAATCATCTTACCATCTTTGCTGGATAACAGATGCAGTAACCCATTGAGACAGGTCTCGGTTTCTGATTGAATCTGAACAGCTAAGCGCCCGATCGCCTGGATAGTTGCTCCGGCGAAAACCTTATCATTTGAAGACACGTAGGTCTGGAACTCCCTCAGTACCACTGGGGCACTGGCTTCCGTGGCCAGGTTGGTGAGGATCTCCAGTTTGAGTAGCTTGATGTGAGTAGGGTCGGAGGTACGAACGAAGAATGACTTCAGGAATGGTTCGAATAGTGACTGTTAAAGAATTATTCAATTTTAACGTTATATCAATTTATACGGCCTCTAGCGGTTAATATTCCAATTCAAACGGGGATCGATATTACGACGGCCTGACCCGAAGTTCGGACCCCTAGCGGTGCCTCAGACTAAAGTCGTATCCGTTAGGCGGGAGTTGGCTTTCAGCCGCTCCATAAGTCCTTCCGCGGGTTTGGAGTGCTATCTGCACTCGCCCCCTATCGTCCGGTGAAGCTGTAAAGGCCAGATGCGACCGACAGCATTAGAGTAGGTACTCCAAAAAAAAAACACAATGCTTTGTTTCTGTTGGTTGCGAGTTCGATTCCTCGCACGATGCAAACATTTGTATTTATATAACCTAATATATACTGAGAACATCCAAACCCATACACACAATTATACTCATAAGTATAAACGTTTGCACTTTACGAGTAATTGAACTAGCGACCATCGGAAGTACAGAGGTGTGATAATAGGGTAGACCCAAGGCCGTCACTGTATAAAGATAAGTATTATTTCTATAGGTAGGATGGTAGAGACATTAGGTAAAGCACTGAATGTGCATGGTGTATGTTGTACGATGTATGGTGTATGATTTTTTTGGACTACTCTAATGCTGTCGGCCGCAACTAGACTATACGGCTTCATCGGACAATAGGGACCGAGTGCAGATGGCACTCCAAACTCGCTAAATAACTCCTGCCCGATGGATACGACTTTAGTGCGAGGGCACCTCTAGGGTTCGAATCTCGGCACAGGCCGTCGTAATTTCGATCCTCGTCTTATTTGCTGTGTATGGCGCGTGGTGTATGATGTATGGTGAAGGGTGCATGATGTATATCGTATGTGGTACTGTGTCCGGTACCCGCTTGGAGAGCGTGAGCGCTGCGACGGATGTGAGCACGACGCTCTGCACCTCGGGCGGCGCGCGCAGCAGCCGGACCATCGCCTTCGCCACCGGAGACAACTCCTGGCCTGCGGGCACCACGCGGACTCTCACTAATGTCCACTACAGACCCTATAGCTAACTCCTGGCCTGCGGGCACCACGCGGACTCTCACTAATGTCCACTACAGACCCTATAGCTAACTCCTGGCCTGCGGGCACCACGCGGACTCTCACTAATGTCCACTACCGACCCTATAGCTAACTCCTGGCCTGCGGGCACCACGCGGACTCTCACTAATGTCCACTACCGACCCTATAGCTAACTCCTGGCCTGCGGGCACCACGCGGACTCTCACTAATGTCCACTACCGACCCTATAGCTAACTCCTGGCCTGCGGGCACCACGCGGACTCTCACTAATGTCCACTACCGACCCTATAGCTAACTCCTGGCCTGCGGGCACCACGCGGACTCTCACTAATGTCCACTACCGACCCTATAGCTAACTCCTGGCCTGCGGGCACCACGCGGACTCTCACTAATGTCGACTACAGACCCTATAGCTAACTCCTGGCCTGCGGGCACCACGCGGACTCTCACTAATGTCGACTACAGACCCTATAGCTAACTCCTGGCCTGCGGGCACCACGCGGACTCTCACTAATGTCCACTACAGACCCTATAGCTAACTCCTGGCCTGCGGGCACCACGCGGACTCTCACTAATGTCCACTACAGACCCTATAGCTAACTCCTGGCCTGCGGGCACCACGCGGACTCTCACTAATGTCCACTACAGACCCTATAGCTAACTCCTGGCCTGCGGGCACCACGCGGACTCTCACTAATGTCCACTACCGACCCTATAGCTAACTCCTGGCCTGCGGGCACCACGCGGACTCTCACTAATGTCCACTACAGACCCTATAGCTAACTCCTGGCCTGCGGGCACCACGCGGACTCTCACTAATGTCCACTACCGACCCTATAGCTAACTCCTGGCCTGCGGGCACCACGCGGACTCTCACTAATGTCCACTACCGACCCTATAGCTAACTCCTGGCCTGCGGGCACCACGCGGACTCTCACTAATGTCCACTACCGACCCTATAGCTAACTCCTGGCCTGCGGGCACCACGCGGACTCTCACTAATGTCCACTACCGACCCTATAGCTAACTCCTGGCCTGCGGGCACCACGCGGACTCTCCCTCAGGTCCAAGACAGCCCCTATAGCTAACTCCTGGCCTGCGGGCACCACTCGGACTCTCACTAATGTCCACTACCGACCCTATAGCTAACTCCTGGCCTGCGGGCACCACGCGGACTCTCACTAATGTCCACTACCGACCCTATAGCTAACTCCTGGCCTGCGGGCACCACGCGGACTCTCACTAATGTCGACTACAGACCCTATAGCTAACTCCTGGCCTGCGGGCACCACGCGGACTCTCACTAATGTCCACTACCGACCCTATAGCTAACTCCTGGCCTGCGGGCACCACGCGGACTCTCACTAATGTCCACTACCGACCCTATAGCTAACTCCTGGCCTGCGGGCACCACGCGGACTCTCACTAATGTCCACTACCGACCCTATAGCTAACTCCTGGCCTGCGGGCACCACACGGACTCTCACTAATGTCCACTACCGACCCTATAGCTAACTCCTGACTTGCGGGGAAGTGAACTCTTAGTAAAAACTAATACCTTCCTTTACACGACACGTTCTTTAACGCGCCATTAGGAGCGCGCGCGATTTAAATTTCTCGGTATATATTATTTCTTAGATTTTCGATACTTGACCAGATTTTTCATTCAGATCCTATGTGATTATATCCCACTCATACATAAAAGAAAATATCTTCTTTGGAAAGTTTACACCCTACTATAAGGAGATAAAAAAATCGCTCCTAAGAATATATATTCTTGTCCCTGACGGATCTAGGTAGCGAACTTTGGAAGAAAGAGCGAGCACAATAGATCTATTTAGGTCGCAGGGCTACAGGTTTAAGTACCTGACAATACCCTAAAACTCAATAGAATCCTGTATCCTACACATACATACACCTTGTATGTAAAAGATAAGATGTCTATATATTTATTTTATTTTATAAATTATCTGCTAAACTGATAGAGAAGGGTCCGGTTAAAAACCAGCGCCGCATAGGAGGATCCTGTCGGCACACGCTGAACCGGGACCTTTTGGTGCTTTTAATTAAGTATCATTTAAATGTATTTCTTTTATATAATTTGATTGGCAGCAATAAATGTTTCTTATTCTATGAATGAAACAAGGAAACTTCTGCGCTTCTAGAAGGAACTTGGCTGGCTACTCTAGTAGTTTGTACACGCACAACGGCCAAGATGAGAGGCTCATTGTGCAAAATGTAGTCCAACTTACATTTACATTTAAACATGCACTGACCTGGTCCGCAGTGGTACATGAGCTGCGCGACGGCCATCACAACTCCTGAGTTCCTGCTCTGCAGCAGCGGCTTGGCGGCGCGCAGCAGCAGCCGCAGGTCGGGCTCCACGCTGGCCGCCCTCGGTCTCCGCCCCCCCCTGGTCTCCCCGTCCCCGGCCTGCGCCTCCTCCCCCTCATCGCTCGACGACTCGTAGAACGGCTTCTCAGTCTCGCTATCGCTGTTGTATGACTGTAAGTGTGTAATTAGGTGTTATTAGCTGCTTTTACACGACACGTTCTTTCACGCGATCAGGAGCGATTTGCGCGGGAAAGCTAGTGCGCATAATCGTGAATGATTGCATATTACTTTATCTATTTTTTGTTCACTTTCGCGCGTGATAGTGCGTATGTTATATATCACTTCATATATTCCATAGATTTTATTTTCCAATGTCACGGTTAACTTTTATAAATAATCAATACCTCTATAATTATGTCTGGTCCATAGTTCTAAATCCGTCATTTGGCAATGATAGTTACTACAAAAAGGCACTGAAGCGAGCTTCACGATTGCAGTACGCGGAAATGCGCGAGCTTTAATTACATAATTACAAAAAGGCGAAGCGGGTTCTTGATTGAAGAACGCGAGATAGGGCGGGCCGGATCGTTACAAACAATTATACTCATGCATACTCTTGTTACTGGCTAATCTGATATGTAATTGAGCTTGTTGAAATCGCGCTGATAACGTGTTGTAGTAATAAGAAAAAAAAGACTAGGTAAACGGAGAAAATATATATTAATATATGGTGGTGACTATCGTCCCGACCTTTGACGGTAAGAAGATGAAGAGTTTTGACTAGTGCTTGAGGATTTTTGGGAATTAATTGTGGGTGTTCCTGATGGTGCAATATATAGTTGTGCTAGTATTATCCACGTCCCTGTTATAATTCTTCAAGAGGTATGTAATTTATGATAGAACGTGTTTAAACTTTACTATTTCTCCGTTTACCTAGTCTTTTTTTCTTATTACTACAACACATACAAACGTTTGCAGCGTTCGAGGAATATAACTCGCGACCATTGGAAGTATGGCAGTGTGCACCAATAGACCACCGAGGCCATTGTGGTTTTAGAAGTTACAATTTATAATGAATTTTACTTACGTCGGTGTTAGGGTCTGGGAAGCACGTCTTCGCGTACAACGTAAGCATATTGAGCAGGGCCAGTTGTCCCCACTCATCCACGTCTGCTAGTAACGAGCACAATTTCCTACAATAAAACAATTATTTTTTCAACACGCTTGTAAAGTGGATCTAATTTCTATAGTTTTTTATATATAAAGTAGCTCATATAACACGCGTACGTTATAAACGTAAACAGTGAAGTTATATTCCAAAACATGATAACATGATTTTTTATATAATAATCATTTTATTTCTTATGAATAATTAAAAAATATATATCATTCTACGCTCCTCCTCTATATAAACTACTAGCCATTCGCCCCGGTTTCGCCCGGGTGTATATGTATTATACATATAAAACTTCCTCTTAAATAACTCTATCTATTAAAAAAAACCGCTTCAAAATTCGTTGCGTAGTTATAAAAATTTAAACATACATAGGGACGGACAGACAGCGAAAATGGCTTTTTTTAATACTATGTAATGATAAGTATGTGAAATTTCATACTACTTAGCTCGCGCAATTTTCGTAAAAAGTTGTACAAAGTTTTTTTTAAAACATGAGTATTATATATAGATTAAGTTTTATTTTAAAAATTAATCTGTATTATTGTAAACAAGTATAATATTCATTTGAAAAGAATACAAGCTTAGTTTCTTGTCAGTTCTTCTCATCTGGAAATCATTCCGAACTGACGGTAGATTTGACATATCATGGGTCTGTAATAGACCTACATGAATAAAGATATTTTGAATTACCTGTAGCTCCTGTGTATGAGACTCATGCGGTCGCCGCACACTTCGTTGAAGGCCATCGCAGCGGAGCCTACAACGAGCGGTGCCTTATCAGATAACAGCTTGTCTATTATAGCCACCAGCTCTTCCTTCTGCTCAGGGTCAAGGCTGCAACAATATTTGTAATAGTGAGTTTCAGTGGTCTTGCAGTTTAACACATTTTTATTATGTTGAAATGTGACAGAAATGTTACCTGTAAAGTTTTGGTATGGCGTGAGCGGCAGTTTTCCTCACGTACGGACTCATGTCGCTGGCGGAGTCCCTGATGGCCAGCATCACAATCGGCACTATCATCGGCACACGGATGGAGGACAGCACGCGGAGGGCACTGGCACGGATCAGCTGATTTGGGTCCTGTTGAGAACGAAAGAGCGTCATAATTTAGATGCACTTAAATTAAAAAAATGTGTTTTTTTATGATATGGCATAAAGAATTGTATAGAATATAATAACATTTATTACATCACACATTACGATACAACAATGACGATACTAACAGCAGCATATGAATTATTATCTATACATATAAATAAAATTGGAGTGTCTGTTTGTAATATTGAAATAACCGTTTTTTACTACATACATATGAATATAAATACGGTACATACACCAAAATAACATTTTATACAATTTTTGTCTGTCTGTCTGTCTGTTTGTTCCGGCTAATCTCTGAAATGGCTGGACCGATTTTCACGGGACTTTTTTTGGCAGGCAGCTGATGTAATAAGGAATAAGTTAGGCTACTTTTATTTTAGAAAAATTCTTTCATTTCAGAAAAATAAATTTAAATTCCACGCGGATAAAGTCGCGGGAACAGCTAGTATAAAATAAACGAAATTAAAACAATGCATTAAATTGGTCTCATATTGGGTTACTTGAAAAAGAATAAGAAAATTAAATAAAATACAAATATATTAACCACCATTGTGCTCACCACTCACAATACGGAAAAATACGTAACATAACACTAATTTTGTAACCTGCACCAACATATTACCTCATTGTTAATACTTTTTTAAAGTCCTATATTTTAAAATGTCACTGTTGTTTTGATTTTTCTTCATAATTGATCCTTTCACAATATATGGAAGCAAATTATTTTCATTTAACCACAATTACGTAATGTTATTTACAATCGCCATAATAATCCACTGAGAAATCCGTAACTCTTCAATATGGTCCTTCGAGCCGGATAAATGTTTAATTTATATGGCAAAACAACATTTGCTGGGTCAGCTAGTTTTATTACAGAATTTATAGGTATACAGCTAGCTCAATTTCATATGAAGCCCCTGATCTGAAAAAAAAATGTAAAACACTCACTTTTAGTGCTCGTTGGAAAGTACTGATGGATAGGAGCGCCAGATCCTGTTGCTCTTCAGCATACCTCACCAGATAAACATACACCAATTTCTTCACTTCTATGTTCTTTGATACTACATTCTTCACTACTGCTGGAAATCTGGAATAATAATAATAATAATCTCAGGACAATTCACACAGTGCCATCTAGACCCAAGTTAAGCTAGCTAAAGCTTGTGTTATGGGTACTAGACAAATGACACAAATATAGAGATTTTCGTAAATAAATATACATATAATACATAGAAAACAGCCAGACCAATACAAACAATCATATTCATGAATACAAATGTTTGTGTGAGGAATCGATCCCGCGACATCTGAAGTAAGGCGATATGCTAAACTGCTAGACCATTGAGGCTGTCTATAATGAATCATTTATTATAGACAGCCTCGTATAAAAATAATATAATATAATATCTATAAAAATAAAACAATAACAGGCAGCTTTTTGGCAAGCTCTAAAAATAATAGTAATATTAGACCGATTCCAAAAGTTAATAATATAAACTACTACACATGTTTTTACTATATACATGAACAGTGCATGTTAATTAACTGTTGTTTAATACTGGTTGGTCTATATCGGACCGCAGTTACAGTTATGTGTTTCTGCCGGCCGGCCACCGTTTGTGTGCATTACAATCAGTCGCCAAAATACAACCGTGAAGACACAACATCTTTCATTTAAATTTAAGTACAAAATTTCCACTTCTCCCAAAGCAAACAGAAAGCAGCTTTAACACAATCAACAAATACCATTTATGCATTGTTGTTCCAGAATAGAAAATCCTTTGATTTAAATAAATTATTGAATTGTCATAGCTATTTTTTTAAACTAAGGCTAATTAGGAATGCTGTCTCATCACAAGAAGAATGAGCAAGAAACTTGTATGCTGCTCTTTCGTATTCATCACTGCAACTGTACATTTTATATATAAAATTCTCGTGTCAAAGTTTTCATTCCCATACTCGTCCGAAACGGCTTGACCGATTCTCATGAAATTTTGTGAGTGTATTGAGTAGGTCTGAGAATTGGCCAACATCTATTTTTCATCCCCCTAAATGTTAGGGGTAGTCAACCCCTAAATTTTTTCTTTATTTTAAGGCAAAACAATGTTTGCCGAGACAGCTAGTTTTAATATAAATATGTGAGATTTAGGTATCCACATAGATGTAGTTTGTCTTTGTCTTTTGTTTGTTGTGTACCTACCTAAACATTCTATATTGTTTGTCCCAAATGAACATTATAATAATATTTTATTTATATGCTTTTTGCCACTAACATAGTATAAAAAAAGTATGGCATAAAGCATAGACAAATGGATAATAATATATCTGATACTAACAAATCAGATGCATCTCTTCCTTTTGCTATCATTCCAATGATCCTTTTCATAGCCTCTAACTTTAAAGAGTCTTTAGATCCATCCAGCATCATTTTCAGATCATCATTCCTGTAAAATAATGAAACAAAATTTAATAAATCACACAGATTATAAAAAGGTGTTCTGTTATTATATCCACATAGTCATAATAATAATTATCTAGAACAGTTTATATAGCACCATCTAGTGCTAAACTAAGCAAAGCTTCTGTTATAGATACTGCACATCTCATTTAAATACTTTTTTTTTAAATCTCAGGATAATTCACACAGCACCATCTAGACCTGAGTTAAGCTGTCTAAAGCTTGTGTTACGGGTACTAGATAACTGATACAAGTACATAGATATTTTTTTCATAAATACATACATATTATACATAGAAAACACCCAGACCGATACAAACAATCATACTCATGAATACAAATGTTTGTACCGTGCGTTGAAGCGAACCCGCAACCATCGGACCTAAAGTGGTGTGCTAGACCGCTAGACCACCGAGGTTGTCATACTTAAACACACTCTTTTTGTAAATATATAATAAACATAGAAAACACCCAGACCAATACAAATAAACATACCCATGAATACAAATGTTCATACCAAGTGCCTTAGGCATATCATATTTTTTTATTACTATTCCTACCATAAAGTTCAGCTCATTCTCATTCTTTCATTCAACTGGCACATTTTTTTGTTATTTTATATTTATAAACATTTATAGTCATTAAAAAATAACATAGTTGTTAATAATCCCTTGTCCGAACATGGCAGATGACCCACGGGCTCAGTTAGTAGGAAAATAAAGCACAGAATTAATAGCTTTACAAATAAAATATATATTATATAATAATAGGTATAATTTAAAGTGATTTGTATTATTATAATCTTAAGTTTTCAATTCATACAGTTACTCATAATTAGCAATATTTATAATAATTCAAGACACTTAATTAATAAATAGCACTTTATTAATTTAGGTTTTTATACAAGAGTATTTTTTTTAATCATAAAAAATATTGCATTAAAAAACTAGCAAATAAAGCAGATGCTGGTATTTTTGTTAAAAACATTCTTAAAATTAGAAGGTCCTAGGTCCTGGGCATGATGCTAAATAATAAAAAAAAACTAGGTCCAGGGTACGCTGATAAACAATAAAAAAGAACTTTCTAATACCTATTAGCTAACATTCTTTTATTAGTTTAGCTAGCTATCTTCAGCTAAGTAATCTATTATACTACTGAAGCTGAATAAGAATAATTAGTTATCCATTATCGAGGAATTATGGGACTTTAAGACTAGACTAACAATAAATGATAATATTACTTTTTATAATCCGGCTGGAAGAAGGCACCCGAGGCAGGATCATTTGCGGGATATTCCACTTCACCTGTGACCACTGTGACATTATTATAGGATGATATGCTCGTCATTTTCACTGTACTTTGATTTAAAGCATTTAATTATTAACTATAGGTATTAATTTTAATAAAAACTACTGTTTGTAATATTTTGAGATTGCTCACTGAGTTTACTTGTTGACGATTTGACAGTTGACGTAGACTGAAGTTGACATTAGGATTTTTTTTATTAATATGTTTTACGGTTCTGGATACAAGTCATTACACATTTGTGTTGCCATCGCTTGTTTTTACTTTTTCTAGCAAACGTAGTAACTACCTACACAGTACTGGGCCTATTACCTTATTATGTACTTTAGAGAAAATGTAAACAAAACCAACAAACTCTAATGGGTTAGCCTTACTTCATACAGATGCAGGCTTGATTTTTCCTACGGTATATTTATATATCCCGTACTGGATGGTTGGTTTTCTATGTATATTATATAAGGATTTACAAAAAATGTATCTATGTATGTAATTAGCCATAACATAAGCTCCGTTAGCTTGGGAGTGGATTTATTATATAAAAAAGTATAAAGATACTATTCTTTCTTTGGTCAAATTAAATAAAAATACTAAACCGATTTTGAACATTCTATCATTTATCAAAAATTATCATCAACGAAAAACTACGCCCAGTAATTAGTCGGCGCCTTTATTTTTTTAATTACAATAATATTGTGAATTACTCACATAAGGAAGAAATTATTCTTAAATAATATTTATTATTACCGTAATTACTTACTGACATTCCTTGTTTTATATTATACTAAGCTCTAATGCCCTCCGGCTACTTTGACATACCAAGTTTCGTAACATGTATAAATTCTCCAGTTTATTTGATGGGGAAATTAATTCTTAGAGCGTAATACATATAGTATAGTGGTTCATTACCCTGACTTACATACAAAACATAGTAAGTAGAATTCTGGCTGTCAAAAAAAACATTTATGTACCTTATTTATATTTCTGACTGGCCAGTGTAGGGTAACAATATAAGTAACAATAATACTAAATATAAATTCAAATGACTGCGGTAGGTTTTCCATCTGCCCTATTGGATTCAAATATACCCAGTGGGGACGGAAGGGGATTGTCAGTAATGTTACAGATAAGAGAATATTGTAATGTGGACAACTAATACCATTGCTCACAATGTACCATGTCAGAGTGACTTCCACGAGGTTCCCCCTGGATCACCACCATCGTGATAAACTCCTGGTGAATTTACCACGATGTGCTAACTGACCTGACCTCATGCTCATCTTATCATCCACTACTAGTATCAAGCCAGCGTATACCGTTAGTGCAGGCGGGTGAACCATTTCATTATTCTCCATAAAAATATACCCAGGGAAATATGGATATGTGAAGTACAGCATCTACCATGATATTAATAAATGATTAGGTCTCTGATTACCCTCTTCGGGATAGCAGTCGTGATGGTATGGTATTAATAGCAAAGATATACACAAATAAAAAATATCAACTCCACGTCAATTTATTGTTACACCATTGTTTTTATGACAAATAATTCTGTGCCTCTTGTGGGAAAGGGCATAAGTAGAGTTATTTTTTAGGTTACAATAATAAGCAAAGGTTTCTCTTACAAGTAATGATATCTTTAACAAACGAACACACATAGCAAACGAGTAAATGACTGTAGTATATATAATACTACTCGCAATATTTTAAATTTTATTAGATAATATTTTTTCTTTCTCAAATGGAAATTATAAGTATGTTGTATACTTTTTTAAAAATTAATTTATCTCTCAAATAGAAATCTTAATATAAAATTTTGATAGGGTCCTAATTCTAAAGCAATAAATTAAAAAAAAAATTTCATTAGTATTTAAATTAAATGCATAGGTATTACGTATTTCATAAGAAAGATCACAAAAATTAACTCTTAACGATAATTATTGGAGTTTCTTAATTATGTATTTTACTATACATAAGAAAAGCTAAATATTTTTTTAAAGAAAAAAAATATTTTGCGTCTCTGGAAAAGCAGCAATTTGGAATTAAATCATGGGGCCGTATTATGAACTCTTATTCCCATTCAGTTTACGGCTTAAACTGAACTGCCTGGCGATTTCGTATTACGAACGCTATTAGCCAGCCCGTCAGCGGTCACGTGACAGGTGAACGTCTTCTGCCCGATAACTGACCGGCTATTTCGTATTATGAGCGTTTCATTTAACAGGAATTGGAGCGTATTGCTCCAATTCTTAATACAGAGAACAGCAAGAGTTGCAATTATTTATAAACAATAAAATAAGTAATCTATTGTTTTAATTTACATAAACAAATCTTTCTCAATAGAGGCACAGAATTTAACTTATATACATATTCAACATTTATATTTCATTGAGCAATTCACAGTAACATCGATGTAATTACAAAAATACAATCATAAATACAAATAATATTGTATTTTAATTCTATAATTTTAGTATTCTACAATAAGTACTTAATAATAGGCGTTTAGCAAAATAATCACAGTTCATGTATATATATGTATAACAATATATCTAATAGAACAAGTTATAGAGAGTTTCATTTCGATGTCACTGCCTACACATGGCACTAAGATTAGGGGTAGTGATTGGTACTGCTTTAGATGGTGTCCTAGATGATCTCGTAGCTAAATCATAGTTCACTTCCGATTTTTCGAGAGTAGTGATCAAGATGGCGCGGCGGCCAACGAACAGTGATTTGGATATAAATTGGATTGAATATACGGGTAGCTCGTGTACGGACAAGTCGTAGTTTCTAGCACTAGGCACAAGGCTAGTATATTCAAGTACGAGATTGTGGACTCCGATACAAAAACTGTCATTTTTAAGCTCGTAGCAGGTTTTGATGTACGAAAATGGGTTAAAATTTGACGGTGTACGAAGTTACTAAGCCAAATTGGCAACCATGACTGGGCGACGATTTTATATAGTGTTATACTATACTATTACAATATCATCCCCACCACTTCTGTTCTCATAGTGCCCCTGAATTTAGTGTATTGTGTAGGCGTTAAAAAGTGTTTATATTTTTAGTGAAAAATATAAATAAATATTTTTTTTAAATAATGCAACCACAGGTAATGTAATGATACAACTATGTATTTAAGGCCAACTACCAATGTACAGGTTTTTTCTTCTAATTTTAATATGTTAAGAATAGAATATTTATCGTATAATTTATGCATGGATGTCGGAATTCATATATTGATTACCAATTTGTTTATTTATTTAGTTAAAATTATAACTTAAACAAAGACACAACGATAAGATGAAAGTGGAATAAATGTAATAGGTAGAGTGGCCAAAAGAAGCCACTCTAAAAAAATTTATTTAAAAAAATTTTTTATTTTATTTTTTTGCGTAGAGGCCAAGGGAGCATGGGGTAAACTTCCAAGTAGTCGATTACCGCAGTCCATGAGCACATATACCTAAGAACAGAAGGTCTATAAGATATCATTGTTAAATGTGAAATTATATTCATTGATCCAGATAAGAACATATTGAAAATATAATAAACAAGTAGTAAAATTCGAACGAACAATATTTTCATAAAAAATATGGGATCATAGCGTTACCTACCTAAGCTGCATATATCTACATATTATTATGTTACATATAAGTGTCCATAAACTTAAAGGCAATAAGATACATATAGCAAGTGGTTTAAGCACTTACCATTCTATTTTATAAAGACTACAAAACGTCATTTAGCTATTCAACTATTGTTTTTTATTGTTCTAGACATTTTCTTAATGTTAACAGAGTCGATAATACACTATTACAGTTAAGATGGGTTTGTTGGTTGAAGGTTTCCATTCTTCATAATAATATATGTATCGTAAATATAAAATTCGATTTAATCTATCAGACAATAAAGGGTCATCCACACTTGTCAGTGTCTAAACGTGAATATTAATAAAGCACTGTAACATGCTATCTATTTATTGTCAGACTACATAAATTTAAAATACGTACATGTCGAGAAAGTTAAAATTTTTAGATTTGGAAAAGTTTAGTTTTAATGTATTGAATTAAATTAAACACAATACAAAATTAATTAAATTACACAACAAAAAAATAACTGACATGACAATGAGCAATTAGAATGGTATCCAATCGTACTCGGCCCAAAGGCAACGCTTGCAGCATTGAATTTAATAATTATAATTTCCGAAATATCGCGATCTTATACAGTTTATATATAATTTTATTAACGTCTGACCACTTTTTGTGCGGTTTACACAAACTTTTTTAAGTAAATTCACAGGCTAAGTAAAAAGCTAACGTTTTGACAGCTAACAGTTGAAAGAAAGTCCAATAATTGGCTGCTCCGCAAATGAGAGGTTATACATAGTATTTATATTCTAAAATGGGTATCGCACGGATTCCAACGTGTCCGCACGGATAAGTGTGGATAGCGCTTAATTCACAACACATCACTAAGTCATATCACAATCCGGGCAGCGCTCGGCAGCATGGTCCCGGCGCCGGTCCGGTCCCCGGCGGTCGACCGGCGCGTGTGCGGCCACTCCACACTACACTACATAAGGGTGGGCGCGGACGAGGTCCTGTCGCGGTAATACTCGTGCAGCACGCGGCATCGCTCGTGGCGCGCGCACACCAGCCGCGGTGGCGGCCGTCAGGCCGGCGCTCGTGGACGTGGCTCGGGCCGGTCCGGGACTGCGGTTAGTGATGTCTCTGCGAACCGGACGCCCAGTCTTGTCCGGACTCTACCATTCTGAAATGGAAGGGATTGTTAAACTCAATTCTAGCAATGTACCATGTCAGATATCACGAGGTTCCCCTGGAAACCATCATGATGGTAATTTGCAAGAAAACAATAGCCTATATTCTTTTCTGAAGTATACTCTATATTACTATAAAGTTTTATCAAAATCCATTAAGCAGTTTTTGCGTGAAAGAGTTCCATCTCTATCTATCCATCCATACTCACAAACTTTCAGATTTATTGTATTAGTATATCCAGGCCCGGTTGTATTAATATATGTTTTAAAATATATTTTTGAAACTACATTACAGCGACGTCGGGATTTCAGCGGGCCAGAGACAAAACAACCGTTAAACACTTAAGATTATAACGCCAATAGTTGCTTACGCAGAAGTGCAGAAAACATGGAAAAAAATACATTAATAAAAAACTAGCCAAGAATTTCTGATTTTAATTACACAACCAAGATCCTCATCTCACAAAAATGTGCAAACAAATAAGATAATGTATGTTATTGAGATAAATACCTTCGATGGCTTCACTAGCGGGGTCTCTAAATTGGCATTCTTCTTTGTCGAACTTGATCCAGAGTTACCTGAAAACATCATCATTTTTTAAGAAAGACTTGATTAGAGTCGCGGTTTCAATCCATAATACAATTTATACACAGTACATTGCTGGTAATAGTGGCTCCAGTATTCAGTCCCACAAAACAAAGCATACGACTCGACGACCCATATGTGCCCGGCGAAGAATGTCTAAGAACAGACTAGGCAGAGAAGAGAGAAAGAGAGAGAGAGAGGGGCCACTACACATCTTATGTGACCCACTTATGCATGAACGAAATATCTCCTTTGGAAAGTAGCATATCCTCAGCAGATAAAAACTATCGCTCCTAAAAATATCACTCAATTCTTGTCCCTGACGAGTCTAGGTAGCGAACTCTGATAAAGGACGAGCACAATAGATCTATGCAGGTCGCAGTACTACAGGTCTGATTATGGCCCTAACCTCCAATAAAAATTCCCCCTACATTCTATTCATATAATACAACATATTCATAACATAAATACATCATAATAATTGTAGTACACGAAAAAGCTTTTTAGGCACAAAATCAAGAGATTTATATTAAAGATGGCCTGTGAAGAGAGTATATAACCTAATTATATTCAGTGTAATTAGCTATTTATACAGGATTACATTAAATTGGTAGAAGTAAGTCGTATATATTACTAATAAATATTTCAGTATGAATAAATTGGGAGTACTTGGGAGGCACCTAAAGTTCGCACTTCACACACAGACACAGTTACCTAGAAATAATAATAGCTAGTAAGACAAATCCAATATTGTTTTCTAAGCACTACTGTGTCTAAAATAACGAATATTATTTAGGTAATATTTGAATTACGTTTAGGTTATACGAATTACGTTCAAATGTATATATATATATAAATAATATGTAATAATACAGTGTTATACAACTTGAAGTATAATAATTAAAATAGATATAAAAATATTATTACATATGATACCGACTTAATACATTTTTTTATTGAAAGTAAGTAACTCTAAATTATTCATTATAACATTAGCTATCTACGAGTGAAACTCCCATCAAAATCCGTCCAGCCGTTTCAAAGATGAGCAAGAACAAAAAGACAGTCAAAAATTAATCAAATTTTGTTGTAAGTACCGAATATGCTATAGGACACAATTAACTATTAATAATAATTGCATTTAATAAGGACTAGTAAGACAAATCCAATATTGTGTACCAAGCACTGCCGTGTCTAAACTGTGTCACCCCACCTTACATTTTCCTATTGTCATTTAGTATATAAGATCAATATTTTTATGTACATACTGCCAGTCTTTTATCATCTTTAATATACATCGTCTTAACCAACAGCATTGTATCTCATATGTAAATGTCAATCTGTAAAATTGTTTAATAATTTACCAATACATCTAAAAACTGTATATAGTTTCACATTGTTTAACACCAGATTGAGGTCATATTTATTGAATAATGTTACTATTCTGTAGATGACTATTATAATGATGGACATAGACTTATGAGGACCTACTGCACTATGCTAGCTGACATACCTAGATTTAATAATTAAGTTGCTATTATGTTGTTGACAAAAATTTACTGTAATGTTGCAATTATGTTATCCTACACAATTTGTATTGTTTTGGATGAATAAATAAATAAATAAATGTATCATTCACTCGCAACAGGCTTCGTAGGCGTTGGCCTTCAGCCGCTCCATAAGTCCTTCCGCAGATTTGGAGTGCCGTCTCCACTCGTCCCCTATCGTCCGGTGAAGCTGTAAAGGCCAGCTACGGCCGACAGCATTATAGTAATCCTAAAAAAAAAGTGAAGCCTATTCGCGCGTGAAAGAAAGTCCATGTAGAGGTAGATACTGAGAAGTTAAATGCGAAAAATAGAGTCTAACATGCAATAAAATAGAAACAATTATTGCTGTATATGAACTAACCAATGGTATCCGACGCAGCAGTCGACCTGCAGCAAGTATTCTTCAGTAGCCTCCTGAAAGCACCGCGAAGGTCCAGCGTGTAAGATCCATAGACTAACGGGTTCATGCATGAGTTAGAAACTGCCATCGCGAACAGTAAATCTTGAACACGCGGTGATACGCGACTTGCTGACTCACGGTCTATCATATACCTGTTGAAGATGATAAATAAATTATGCTATTCATCAATAGATTTTTTTTTATAGCACAGGGGACAGACGAGCATGCGGCTCACCTGATGGTAAGTGATTACCGCCGCCCATGAGCAACACCAGGTGAATTGCAAGTACGTTGTCGGCCTTTTAAAAAGGAATAAGCTCTTTTCTTGAAGGTTACAATATCGTATCGGTTCGGAAATACCATTGCTGGAAGGTGATTCCACAATGTGGTTGTGCGAGGCAAAAAGTTTCTAGAAAACCGTACTGTGGAAGACCGCCATTCATCCAGATGATCAGGATGAATTGTTTTAAATCATAAAAAAAAAGTAAACATGAAGAATCTATACTTTATTGCACTTGTAACACAAAATAATTACGATTATTAAACAAAAATGTGCGCAAGGGTGGGTTTAACTCTGAAAGAGATCTCTTCCAGTCAACAGCCAACTACCACCTATGTCAGGACGCTCTGACAGAGTTGGTAGTTGGCGGGCCATTAGGCTAGCTAGAGTTTGTGTTATGAGTACTAGACAACTGATAGAAATACATATATTTATGCGCATTTTTATAAATACATACATATTATACGTAAAATATACTCAGATAAATACCAACAATCATACTCATGAATACAAATGTTTGTACCGTGCGAAGAATCAAACCCGCTACCATCGCTAGTAAAGTGGCGATATATACAAAGATATTAATATAGTAACGCAGTGGTTATCTCCTCACCACTGTAGCGTTATATATGTATGATAAAATGAGGTGTCGCTATATAATATATTTGTATATTGTAGTATCTAGGTAGTGAGTATACAAGTGAAATAATTGTACTATTTATTGTACATTAGTAAGTTTATTTGGTAGTGTGCTACATTGCATATTTGTAATACGTACATTCGACGCGGAGTAGGGTCGTAGACTGACTTTACACTGAACTTAAATTTATTTAATGTGGAGACGTAAACTAATAGAAGGGTCTCAAGTGTTGATAGAAATATTACAAGTGTAGGCACAATAATATCGCCTTCGAGTATCTTTGCACTCTTTAAGTTTGGCAGGTAGAGAATGCTATTAGCATTAAGCCCGACTATAGTATAAAATTTCAATAAATAAATAAATAAAATAACAGTAATATTTAATAATATTCTTACCACATGGCCATAGTGGCGTATGGTAGCCAGCAGAGTGCGAAAACAGCAACAATGGTGACCGTCATACGCAGCGTCCGCCGCCGGGCGCGCTCCAACACTCTCCGCCCTGAACGGCGCAGGCGCACGTGACTTATGCCGTTCCGATGAACGCATTTTTCTGAAAGAAATATCTTAATCATATTATTACTTTTTAACCTTTCGTGTTTAGCATGAATAATAATATGTCAGGACTTCTATTCCCGAGCTAAGTAGAGCTTTTGTTCTGGGTACTAGAATTCTGAATCAAATTAAAGAATAATAATTCATAAGCAATGTCATTCAAATACTTTCTACTAGACAGCCATTACATTCGTATCCATCCATACAGTTATACGCATTTGCATATATTCTATAAGTTAACCAAACTGCACATGAAGCAATGAATCTTGTATTCAACAAAATAGTTTATCTATATAACTCGGCTTCGCTCGCGATAATTTATCCATTTAGGGGTGGAATTTAGCAAAATCCTTTCTTAGGGAATGCCTACGTCATAGTAGCTTTATGCATGCAAAGTCTCAACCCGATCGGTTTAAAATTGACAAAGTTTCATATAAACTTTCATCCCCTATTTTATCCCTTTGGGGGTAGAATTAATCAAAATCCTTTCTTAGCGGATGCCTACGTCATAACATCTACTTGTATGCCAAATTTCAGCCCGATCCGTCCAGTGGTTTGGGCTGTGCATTGATAGATCACTACGTCAGTCACCTTTGAGTTATATATATTTAGACAAGCTCCAGATGTCATCCTAGACATATATTAAGTAGTGGAACCTCTAAATTAAAAATGCCTGTACCATGAGGCTTTGAGAAGAAATATGTAGTTTCTTAAACTAGTTCTTCGTCGACGGTAAACGTAACAATTACATCTTCATGTAACAACTACATATTCATGTAGTTGTTACGTCAACGGCGATCGGGTCAGACCACCCAACACGTGATGCAAGAAGGTGGTACCAGGAAAAATCCTGCTTTGAGTACTCCAAATCGTGACACTGTTACAGTGTAGATTTCACGTACCATAAGAGTCTATATGAGTGGAGATCGCGAATTGGCAAACATAGTGTAGGACACCCCGCAGATGGGTGGGGCGACGACATTGAGGGTTGCAGGTAGTAATTGGAAGAGAATGGCTGAAGATCGTGCCCAGTGGCACGCCTTAGGAGAGGCCTATGTCCAGCAGTGGACTGCAGTGGGCTGATGATGACTATGAAGAGTTTGTAATAGACCTACATGAATAAAGATATTTTGATTTGATTAACTCACCATCAAGTTCTTTACTGCTGCGGTGTATCTCGCAGAATATGCAGACGTAACAGACTGTGATGACCACGAGAGGCACGAAGTACATCGCGCAGATGCAGAACACGTTGTAAGCCACCTCCTGATGGTAGCTGCTGAACGCATCAAACGACACGCACTGCTCAAACCCCGCCACTCTTGGATGCCTCTTCACTCTGAATACTATGCTCTGTTGGAGGAGATAATATCATTGTTACTTTACCTCAGTAGATTAGCGGTTTAGCTAGCTTAATGTTTTACTACCGATGTTTGCGGGTTCGATTCCTCGCACGTTGCAAACAATTGTATTCGTAAGTATCATTGTTCGTATCAGTCTGAGTATTTTCTACGTATATTATGTTTAAGTATAAAAAATATATTTATATCAGTTATTTAGTATACTGCTTCGGTGGTCTAGATATTTAGCACACCGCCGGATAACCAATGTTTCGTTCCTATTTATTATATCTATGTAAATAAATAGCGTTGTTGGTTGATGTTTTAGATTTTCAGTCAGTGAAGGTTTTCTAGGATCAATAATAGCTCATCAAAAGCTGTATTAAAATATATTGTACATAATTAGAAGTTTGTTGATCTATCTAGTGGTCTGTAGTGTATAATAATCATGATAAACCTATCTAACAGCGCCATTTAATACCTAAACTAACTTATCTGTTGTTAAATTTTAAACAGTAATATACATACTACTTTTAAAAAAGTTTGAAATACATTGGTACTTAAATATATCTATATATCTTTTATATATCTGATTTTCATAGATAGACATCAATATAAATATCCATTGTAAATAAACTGGATTAAAAAAAAACTCAACTGAGTTTCTTGCCAATTCTTCTCAACACAAATACTGAACTGGACGGTAAGGAAAAAAATAAAATGATAACGTAAAAATTTGACGTTCATAAGCGGCTAATATGTCCTACATGAATAAATTATTTTTGATTTGTATTTTGGACAATATATTTTGTATGTTTAGTCTTAATTATTTATGATATTTTAATAATATATTTTTCTTCTTCTTTCTTTCTTCTAAATTGGTATTTGCACATTTTAATCTACTCAACACTTTCTATGCCACACAGTATTGGGTTGACTGGAAGAGATCACCTTTAGAGATAAGTCCTCCTTTGTTAACATTATTTCTAATGAACATACCGAAATAGTGTATTTAAGTTCAATATAGAATATACAAAATATGTTTTTGTTTTTACATTGTCTGCAGAAATACGAATGGTTAAACAGTTTTAAATTTAGCGATGTTATTTAATTATATAAAAATGGAATACAAAAAACTAAAATTAAACTGAAAATAACTTGTACGAAGAATTTATGATTTGCAATGGAGGCGAAGTCGTTCTCATTATAAAAACAATGTTAAACGAGATTGTTTTGTTGGATCAAAACCATTTGTTCGTTATTTTTTTTTGTTTGTTTTCATAAAACACAAAATACTAGAAAGTAAAGAATGGTAGATACAATAGGTTCCATGATTTCTGAGAAATATTTTTAGTACATCTTTTTATCGTTTTATTATTTGTAATTAATGGTTTCATAAAAAGAATATGATTTATTCTGAGAGATTGTGGGACTGCTCTCTATTGCTATTCATAAACTGTGATTTTTTATCAACTTATTTTTATAACGGCTGTGTAGTCCAGAAACCTTTGCCTGTCTGTGTGGTAATATTGAAAAAACAATGAATTTTTTTTTATTCACAAGTCAAATAAACCAATCATAATCAAAATATCTTTATTCATGTATCACTTTATTACAGATTCTTATGATATGTCAAATATATCGTTAGTTCGGAATGCTTTCAAGGTGAGAAGAACTGACAAGAAACTCAGTTCGTATTCTTTTTAAATAGAAATAGAAATAATCTTTATTCAAATAAACTCATTACAAGCACTTTTGAATCGTCATATTATGATTCTACCACTCATTCGGAATTCAGATTCATCACAAGAAGAATGAGTAAGAAACTTGTGAGTTGCTCTTTTTAATAGATGTTTTTTTATATAAATAATTACAGTATAACAAGTAAGAGGCATGCGATAATCAACATACAAAATCGCTACGCATTCATTAGTATAATCAGATAATATTGTAAGTGCTATGGATTTAAAGTTTTTCAATAAAAACGTTATTATCGTTAACGAATTCGTCAATTTTATAGTAAGCTAAAATATGGTTGTATATGTTTACAATAGTACTATGTTTATAGACTAGACAACAAAAGTGTTATTTATTTAAAAACAGAATAATAAAATATAGATAAGTAGTATCAGTGATTTTTTTAAATTACTCAGTATATACTTACCATTACATAGTATAAAACAAAGTCGCTGTCGCTGTCTGTCCGTCCCTATGTATGCTTAAATCTTTAAAACTACGCAACGGATTTTGAAGCGGTTTTTTTAGTATATAGTGATACAAGAGGTAGGTTTATATATATAATACATGTATACAGTAGCTAGTTAGAACATAAATTATAGAACAATACTATTGTATAATGTTAAAAATAGAAATATACGCTTATATAATTTGATATCTTGTAAAAATACCTAAATTCTTACCTACTCTTATTTATTTCTGTCCCGTTCAATCACAACTTCCTTTAATCCAAATGCTTCAATAGACTGTGATTGAATTGTTGATTGGTTTTTTTATTTCAATTGTCTCCTAACACACAATAAAGACCTGTCTGTCACACTGTCCAGTTTCCTACTTATTTTTACCGCCGTCTTTCATTTTGGCCGCTTGCAATTATGAGTTATGAATAAATTTAAATGTATATTTAATAATCAACTTTAGTTTTGTTTTTTCATTCAATATTTAAAAGAAATTGTATGGTACTTGCATGACTTTTAAGATACATTTTGTGTTTAGGAGGACACCAGTGTCTGAGATACAAATTTGGGCTAGAAACGTCGCTATGGACTTGGTGTTTATATTCATATGCAGGTAATAAAAAACGGGTATTTCAATATTACAAACAGATACTTCAATTTTATTTATATTATATTATATATTATTATTATATTATATATATATAGATGTATAGATAATGGATAAACTAGCGTGAAGGGAATTGTTAGTAATGTGGAGAAATGACCCCATTACTAGCACTGTACCATGACAGGTTGACCTTCACGAAGTTTCCCCTGGAATCAGTTTTCACTGGAAACCGTCGCGAAGTCGTGATAAATTAGCTGTTAACATAGATGGGTGCACCATTCCATTATCATCCATTTATAAAAATAGAAACACGGTTTTTGTGTGATTTTATGTATTTTAATATATTTAGCATTGAGTTGTTGAATACCCTTTTATATTACAAACAGCAGACCTTTATGTTAAGGTCTGCTGTTTGTAATATAAAAGGGTTCTAATATAATAATGTGTATTTTTTTTAATATATTTAGCATTGAGTTGTTGAATACCCTTTTATATTACAAACAACAGACCTTTATGTTAAGGTCTGCTGTTTGTAATATAAAAGGGTTCTAATATAATAATGTGTATATTTTTAAATATATTTAGCATTGAGTTGTTGAATACCCTTTTATATTACAAACAACAGACCTTTATGTTAAGGTCTGCTGTTTGTAATATAAAAGGGTTCTAATATAATAATGTGTATTTTTTTTAATATATTTAGCATTGAGTTGTTGAATACCCTTTTATATTACAAACAGCAGACCTTAACATAAGGTTCTTGAATAAAATAATATTGCGACTATAAATTGAGATGTAAGCTATCGTATCTTTCAAGTTGGATCAAATTGCACACAAAATGCAAATAAATTTGCAATCGGTTTAGTAGTTTAGGAGTCCATTGCGGACAAACAACGGGACACGTAATTTTTATATATAAAGACTAGCGACCCGCCCCGGGTCGCGCGGGTGTATTATAAATTTTTGAATTTCTCGGCTTATTATATTCTATAACACGCATGTATTAATAAATAAATAACCCTGGACAATTAACACAAAGACATCTAGTTCCACGGTAAGTAGAGATTGTATTAATTATTTATATCAGTTAGATATTTTTTTCTAAATACATACATAATATACATAGCAAAACACATACACTGTTACACTACATACACTGATACAAACAATCATACTCATGAATACAAATGTTTGCACCGAGCGAGGAATCGAACCCACTACCATCAGAAGTAAAGCAGTGTGCTAAACCGCCAGACCACCGAAGACGTCAAATATATTATTAAGTAAACCTTCAAATGTATTGTACATATAAACCTTCCTCTTGAATCACTCTATCTATTGCAGAAAACTGCATTAAAATCCGTTGCGTAATTTAAAAGATATTTATAAGCGTACAGACAGTGACGGCGAGTTTATTTGTACTAGCTGTTCCCGCGACTTCGTCCGCGTGGAATTTAACTTTATTTTTCTAAAATAAAAGAATATTAATAAAATAAAAGTAGCCTAAGTTACTCCTTATTACATCAGCTACCTGCCAATAAAAGTCCCGTCAAAATCGGTCTAGCCATTTCAGAGATTAGCCGGAACAAACAGACAGACAGACAGACAAAAATTGTAAAAAATGATATTTTGGTGTATGTACCGTATTTATATTCATATGCATGTAGTAAACAACGGTTATTTCAATATTACAAACAGACACTCCAATTTTATTTATATGTATAGACTATGTAAAGATACAAAAGAGAATAAAACAAAACCTTTGTGGAACAAAGGACAGTGAATTTAAAAAATAAACTATTGCATTTAGTATTTTCCCGCCCAACACTACAGATTATTAAAATCTCAGGGTTGACAGCTGTAAAAATTCTCAATTGTTACAAATGAAAATCGATAAGTACTGAGTTTTTATTTGAACTATTTGAGAGTTGTAGTTTTTTTTTCAATGTCAATAGAAGTATTATTACGATTATTCGACGGCCTCGGTGGTTTAGTGGTTTAACACACTTACTTCCGATGGTCGCGGGTTTGATTCCTCGCACGGCACAAACATTTATATTCAGGAGTATGATTGTTTATATCGGTCTAGGTAAACGAAAAAAAATCTATATATTTGTATCAGTTATCTAGTACCCATAACACAAGCTTTAGTTAACTTGGGACTAGATGGCGCTATGTGACATGTCCTGAGATTATTATTATTACTATTATTATAAAAAAAAACTTATATAGTGTACCCCACATGATGTACGCACATAAGTTATTCACACTTCTTACATGACGACGCGTTCGTGGAGCTGTCCTAATTTTTTTCATTCCTGACCTATTTTTTTTTAGCTGTCTTCGATTGTCGGTGATCACTTCCCATCAGGTGGGCCGTCAAACTGTTTGAATATCCAGTTACATAAAAAACAACCAGCTACATGGCAATATAATTCAGTTACGTAAAAAAAAATGCTATTATTTTACCTGTGGTAAACTACATGCCAACGCAACTGCCCATGCGCAGTACAGCATCTGTTTACTGCGTCGCCTGGCCACCGGCAGCCTCAGGGGATACAGCACCGCGAAGAACCTGCGAAATACCATAACTACATAGTATAAAACAAAGTCGCTGTCGCTGTCTGTCCCTATGTATGCTTAAATCGTTAGAACTTCGCAACGGATTTGGAAGCGGTTTTTTTAATAGATAGAGTGATTCAAGAGGAAGGTTTATATGTATAATACACGTACACCCGAGCAAAGCCGGGGCGAGTAGCTAGTTACATAGTATAAAACAAAGTAAATGTCGCTGCCTGTCCCTATGTATGCTTAAATCTTTAAAACTACGCAACAGATTTTAAAGCGGTTTTTTTAATAGGTAGAGTGATTCAAGAGGAATGTTTATATATAATACATGTATACCCGTGCGAAGTTGGGGCCAGTAGCTAGTTTTTTTTTTAATAATAATAATAATAATAATGTTTATTGAACTAATATTTAGTACAGCCTTGACAATATTCTTGCAAAAATAAAATTGCTTAGTAAATACAGCAGCGTTTTGTACACGTTTACTTTATAGTTATTATATAAGTAGCTGACCCGGCGAACTTCGTAACGCTTAACAGTAGTGTGTGGGAATGTGTGTATGGCACTGGGGTCGGTGCAGCCAACGAATGGTGTTAATTGAAGGCGCAATATGAATGTATAGTACTAGCTGTCCCGGCAAACGTTGTTTTATGGCAAAACAACGTATGTAAACGTAAATTAAAATCAATAAAAAAATTGGGGTTCATGCTAGACGGGTGAAAATATAGGGTTGTATGTATTTTTCAATCCTAAATAAAAAATAAAATTAAAATAAAAAAATATGTCAAAAAAATAAAAAAAAAATTTGGTATGGATATTCCTTACCACTTAGGGGTATGGAAAATAGATTGTAGCCGATTCTCAGACCTACTGAACATGCATATCAAATTTCATAAAAATCGATCAAGTCGTTTGGGAGGCATATGGTAACTAACATTGTGACACGAGAATTTTATATATAAGATATATTATAAAAATATATGTTCTAAGAAAACTATGTATGATATCAGAAGGCAAGAGCAATAAGGAATAACAAAACCATAGCAACTAAATATTCATATAAAAATATAAATATTTTAAAATAAGGAATGTCGTGCCAGCCAGCGACCCGAATGTAGGGAGTCCTGTACAAGTCGATTCTTTAATGTTTTAGTGTTTAGCAAATTGACTTTTAAGTATCATTACAAATTGTTTGTATGGGATTACAGAAAACCGTTCTCTAGAGACTGTTTTAGGCAATTAAAAAAAAATCTCTTTGTAAAACCATCGTTGTAATTCAAGGAATATTCTTAAAAATTAATTAGTCAAATCGATTCAGAAGTTTCCAAGATTTGCGCCTACCAACACGATTCCTCTTTATATTATAGAAGATTATATGTATAAATAGTAAGAATTAAGGACTTACCTATCAACAGATATACAAACGAGCACGTTGGAAGATAAATAAAGGCCAAACGCCCTTAACACTAACAGCAATTTGCAGAGGGAATTACCAACCAGCCACGCATTTGTATACTTCCACGCGATCTGCGAACAAAACAAATAAAAAAGCTTTACTAATATTTTAAATCTAAAAGTTTGTGACTATAGACGGATGTTTGTTACTCGTTCACGGAAAAACTACTGAACGGATTTTGATGAAACATCAGAATAACACATAGACTACAATTTAATATCTAAATTGGTGAATTATAATAATAAATGTCAAGTAAGTGTGATGGAGACAGAGTTACGCGGGTTAGCTAGTACTTAAATATATTTTTTACCTATATACATATAAAATATGTATAGAACAACACCTATATGCTAATAGAAACGGCTGTAATTTAATATATTTACAAATAAAAGGTAGGGATAGTGATAAAAAGTTTAATCGTGCAGACGCATGCAGCTTAAATAACAGAAATAGTCCTAATATTAATTAAATTAGATTGAATTTGAGGATATATGTACATATATATATATCTTATATATAAAATTCTCGTGTCACAGTTTTCGTTCCCATACTCCTCCGAAACGGCTTGACCGATTCTCATGAAATTTTGTGAGCGTATTGAGTAGGTCTGAGAATCGGCCAACATCTATTTTTCATCCCCTAAATGTTAGGGGTAGTCCACCCCTAAATTATTATTTTTTATTTTAAGGCAAAACAACGTTTGCCGGGACAGCTAGTCTTATATATATATGTATATGTGTTATATGAATAGGATTTAATTACGATATACATATAATTATTTCTATAGTTACATCAAATATTATGCGGTTTAAACAAAATGTTTTTGTAATACTCGAATTTCACTGCTTTAATATGTTTAATATGATGGATATAATGATTTTTAGATATTTTAAATTACAAAAATTATATATTCAAATTTCAAAACAACAGCTTATATTACCAATAGACAATGTTTTGAAGGTATAATATGCTCATATAAAATGTATTATAAAAAGAAATATCTTTTTGTAATACAATATTACATGTACCGTATATACGTAAGTTCTTGGAAACCTTTTTAAATAAGTAGCTATCTTAATATTTTACAGAGTAGGCTTCATATGAACACATCAGTAACATCATACATCTAAGCATACCTATATAAATTGCAAATAAATTAATTGAAAGGTTGGTCCGTCTCAGGCCTTTTCTGGCATTTAGCGGATTTACACGACGTACGCAATGGATTACTGAATTTCCGTGTTTACTATGTAATTTATTTTACTTGTAAGATAACATAGATAGAGATAGATAGACGGTTAATGGGTAGACAATACCATCAGGCATTACGTACGATGTCTACAATTTTGTGCGCAAAAGAATCAACAAATGAAGTATAAATAAACAAACATATTTTTTCACTATTATACATTGTTTTTTTTATGGGGAGGTTTGGGCTTGGACGTGTAGCACTGTGACCTACATAGATCTATTGTGCTCGCCCTTTGTCAGAGTTCGCTATCTAGATAATCTAGACAAGAATTGAAGGATATTCTTAGGAGCGATGGTTTTTATCTCCTCATGATAGAGTGTATACTTTTCAAAAGAGATATTTCGTTTACGCATGAGTGGAATATAACCAGATAGGATGTGTATGTAGTGGCATAGGATATTTGAGGCAGAAAAATCAGTACAAATAAAAGAAATGGAGCTTTATGGATCGCAAAGGTGAAGAGGCAATCAACTAAGTATAAAGGTATTATCTGCAACGTTGATATTCTGTTGGCTTCTATACTTAAAATATATATTTAAAATGAGATTATAGCATAGGGTCAAAGAGCCTAGGGCATACTTGATGATAAGTGAGCACCGCCCACAAACACCTGAAATGGCAGGGGAATTGAACAAAAGTAAATTATATTTTACTTATAATGATACTTTTGATTTATAAGCATGTAATGTCACGATTATAATCCCGGGTAGTCAGAATAGAACAGAAAATTCTTTATCAAAGCACTTTTTAAAGGTCATACAAATTTTTTTTATATACCGCTCATTTCTAAAACTCATAACAAGAAAACGGACAAGAAACTTGCGTGTTGCTCTTTTAAATAACTTAGTTATTACTTTACATTTTTAAGTCCATACTAATACTACATTAATAGTCAATTAACTAGCATTAATTAGTCAAATAATAAATACGAAACTGACGGTAGGTTTAATATATCATAAGAATCTTTAATATACCAACATTAATAAAGATATTTTGAATTGAATAGAATAAATAATGAAGCTGTTATAACTGTAGCATCTCGATAATGTAAACAACGGCATTAAACGCCTGAAGCCATTAAAGCGTCCGCAATCAAAGACATTCAATAAATTATTATAATTACAATTTCCGTTGCGAAAAATTACTTGAAATTGTTTGCGGGCTACAAAAACAAGTTGTAAAGAACAAAAGATGAAAACAATCCGCGAAAGTATTCGAAAGTAATGAGATATTATTAAAAGGGAGACGAATAAGTTTTGTTGTTTGTGGACGGGAGGCTGTGAAGCTGAAGGAATTATAAATACGGACCGGTTATATTGCTTTGGTTTTGATATAGCGGAAAGACAATTAATAGTTTGTAATACTGTTTATTCTAGTTTTATTTATATATATTTTATTATCTCCTATCACAAGTATTTAATTATGCTTACAAGGAGATCCCAGCCCCGGCTTAAGGAAATATATAAATAAGAATATGTGATTGTTGATATGTAAATCGCGGAAAGTGGCAAGAGCTCCACCGACAAGAGCGTAGCTCTTAAATTATGAAGGAAGGATATGTAAAAAATTTTGTAAAACATCTTGGTTAATGAAATAAAAAATATATATTATGCATATATGCAATGTAATGAAATTAACGGCACGTCTCAACTTTGCGCGGGTGAAGATTTTCTTAATAATGATAATAATCGTAAAAAAATAGCAAACGCTGTTAAAATGAAGCATAATAATAACATAATAAAAATAATATAAAAGCAGCGAAAGTTGTGAAAATGAGAGAACAATAATAATAATAATAAAACATATCTATTATAAAAAGCTACAATACAGAATATCTCACATTACAAGAAAATTTCTGACATCCATAATAATAAAATCTTCACATAGCGCAACCTCTATGAAGGTAATACTCACTCATACGGGCCTTTGCCAAATGTACGGGAAGATACCTTTAAACTAGATAAAAGAAGAGAATAGAAAAGAAACATAAAAAAAATACTTTATTTGCTTCACCTGGGTGTACATGTATTATACATATAAACCTTCCTCTAGAATCACTCATCACTCTATCTATTAAAAAATCCGTTACGTAGTTTTAAAGATTTAAGCATACATAGGGTCGGATGTAGGTAAGCAGTAAGATGTTAACAATTTAATTTTATTAGGAATCCCTAATTCTAGTAATAAATATAGCCTATCTGAACTATTTTATCTCTCAAATTATTTTAAACTGCATACAGTGTGCAAAATTTCATTAAAATAGATTCAGGCCTAGTAGTTTAGGATTCCTGCGATGGAATCCTAATATCTACCTAATCCTAATGTAAAGAGAGGGGACGCCCTAAGAAAAGATGGATAGATTGTGTGAAAGATGATATGAATAAAAGAAGAGTATGTTTAGATATGACGACCGATAGAGAGCAGTGGAAGAGAATGACATACTGCGCCGACCCCAAATAATGGGATAAAGGCAAGGCAATGATGATGATGATCTACCTCTATCATAATATCTACCTGCATGCCAAATTTCAGCCCAATCCGTCCAGTGGTTTGGGCTGTGCGTTGATAGATCACTATGTCAGTCACCTTTGAGTTATATATATTTAAATACATACGTGTTTTAGTATAGAACAAGCCGAGAAGATCAAAGATTTGTAATGCATCCGTGCATCCGGGACGGGTCGTTAGTACATAATAAGTGAATCGCAATATAAATACAGTTTGAGAACCTCTGCAATATACGTATGCTAAAATGTACAAAACCTTGTCTAAACAAGAATTTCTTACATAATTTTATTTGTTTTACCTAATCTCTCACAATGAAGATAAGCTGACATTTTTCTCATTTCATTTTGCGGTTCATGTTCCCAGTTACTCGGATGTTTTTTCTCGAATAATCTAATAGCTTTATAGAATAAAGACTTTTTTATTATTGAAATTGGTGTATAATAGTTTTATAATTTGAGCCATCCCGACCGAGTGGTTTACTATCACGTCTCAGATATAACAGTAATGAGTTCGACATAAAAAAAACTGTGACAAATTGACACACTTTTTAATGTCTATAACTGAGTCTTTGATCTACTGTTATTAATTAATCATTGTTAATAAACCAAATTAATGCAAGAGATAATGCAAACTCTGGAATTAATTTTTTTTATTTAATTAGTATGGTAAATAAGTTGTATGGTAAGTGGTAATCTTTGTGTATGTACTTTAACATCACGGACATCACGCTATCATGTGTGACGCCCGTGATAACCCTCATACGGAGGACTACGATGTCATACCTCATATGCTGTGATTTCACTGCCACTTCTCAACATACAAACGAAGCACAACAACAAATCAAGTTACTGGAGTAGGTGAAATGATATGAACCCACCCAGACAACTTTGTTTGGACAAACGCCATTGTAACATTTATTGTTTAAGATATATGTATTATTCTGTTTATAATATGTACAATTAAGAATTACAAATAATAATAAACAAACTTTTTACAAAACCTAGCTGTTAATATGTTCATACTTAGGTACGTAGCGCGGTGGTTATCACTTCATCATTGAAGCGTTATATATGAGGTGATGAGGTGTCGCTACATAATATACTGTTTATTGTAGTATCTAGGTCACTACCTAGAGTATACAGGTTAAATAATTATACTATTTATTATACATTACTAAGTTTATTCGACAGTGTACTACATTGCTTATTAGTAACGCGTACGTTCGACGTGGAGCCGGGACGTAGACTGACTTTACACTGAACTTAAATCTATGTTAGCTGGACAGGTATTAATGGAAGGGTCTCAAGTGTT